AGTCTTTCTCCTACCACATGGCTGGTGGGTTCAAATTGCCCAACTTTGGCTTAGCATCTGAGCACTTAACCACTACGCTAGCAGGACCCCTTAGCAAAAATAATAAGAATGGGAATAATGGAAAATAATTTTTAAAAAGTTGTTAAATATACATGCATACGGTATGGCGTATTTAAAAGCTCTTTGGCACTATGGGTAAGGTGACAAACTGCTAATCGAACCTTTCAACTAGCTGCTCAGCAGGAGGAAGATGAGGCCAGCTGCTCTTGTAAAGACTGAAAGTCTCCAAACCCTAGGAAGGGTGACTGGAAGTTGGAATAAACCCAAAGGCAGTGGGTTTGGGTTGGACTTGGTGCAGGTAGATGGTAGAAATAAATAATTTAGTTCGTAGAATATTCTGTGTTAGCCTTGGTAATCTAGATTACAATGGCTCAGTTCCATTGAGCATCTTTTGACTCATACGGGCCCTCTTCAGGGATTCTCGACTGCACATCTTTACTGGACCAGAAAAGCTCCGCTCTCTTCCAAGGAGTGACTGGTGGTTTGGAGCTGCAATTCGTGCAATTAACAGCCTGATGCTAAATATGAGTTAGAGGTATCTTTTATGCTTTTCTATAGAAGAGATATACAATTTACACGTACACAAAATAAACAAAGTGATGCCTTTTGCTATGTTTTATTTTGCTATTAGCTTGTTAAACATAACATGAAAATAATAAAAAAGAAACATACACATGACTTAAAAGGAAAAATAATTCTAGAAAAAACATTTCACTAAATAAACATGTAAATTTTAATACTAAAAATAATTCTTGAAATGTGCCTGACTTCATGGATTTTGTCTAATGAATTTTCAAATTTATTGGTCTCAAAATATGCCCTCCACTTTTTATTGAGACAAATTTAACATATTGATATGATTTGATTCAAAATATAAAATACATTTGTATAGTCCATGTTTTTTGTTACATTAAGATTTAGAAATTAGAAAACTTGGCTGACTTCCATGCAACTAATAAAAGGCTATACATAGAATTCTATCTAGAAAATACTAAATTTACCAACCAAGTAGTAAGTTTGGATTCTACGTGTGTATGTGTGTGATGAAATAGGCCTGCCTTTCATCTTGCTTCTAAAAATAACAGTGATAAAATGTTTACAAAACATTTTTGCCTCAAACTTTAAACTTTATAGGAGTTAGAAGCATTACAAAAAAGTGACATAAAAAACATAGCCATTAAGTTTTGCTCCAGAAGATGCCTCACTATCACTGAAATCAGAAGCTATCAATTCACGGTGATTTCATTAGCTACGCGTAGACATTCATACATATCGGGGGGCAGGCTTGTGTGGGTGAGGCGATTGCCGTCCAGACGCAGATGCTTGATCTTGGAGTAGGTTAACGGCCCCAGGATCTTACAGAAGCTCTTCACTTCGAACTCTGGAAAAGAGAGAATGATGGATCTCAGCCACCTCTTTTAATCCACGGACTCAAAATAATCAATACGACAAAATAATCTAATATGAAATCTTATTTGGACCAGTCAACGGTACTGTTTACCTGGATTGAGAACGATTAAAGGTATACTTTAATAAAATGGCATAACATGTATGTAAGAGTAATTATGGCAGATTAGGATATTCAATGATATTTTTCAAAGAAAAATAACATTATTAGAAATTAAATTTTAAAAGGCACTAAATGTATTATATTATCTAAGAAGATTTTTGGTATTAGTGTAGCCTGAAGAATTATAGATTTGATGTTACTGTATGGACAAACTCACAATATAATCTTAGTTTTTTAGCTCCTTAAAATTTACTTCATGATTTCTAGCTTTTCCTAGATGAATTCTGGAGTCTTCCAGTTCCAACATATGGTGAAAATAATAACTCCAAGACACAAACCAAATTATGGAATGTTCACTCTCTGTGATTGAGCTGCTACGAATGAAGAACGAAATCTGTGACTGGGTTGTCTGTTCTATGTGCAGACAGAAATAGTCATTGTTTGCCTAAGTCTTTTTCAGATTTAATTTACCTACTCCTTTAGCTTGTTCTCTTCCTTCAACCTCAAACTCTGGTGAAATAAGACCTCAATGGATGCCCAAACACACTGTGCCCTTTCCCTAATGATGCTGTCTCAAATAACTTATCGGATGAATTGTACTAAATTTCCTTATAATACTAACCTCAGAGAAAGTATGGAACATCTAAAAACAAACAATCCTGAACTTAGAGAAATACTGCAATTCCATCACTTCCAACTGCCATCTGAGTGACCCTGGACGGTCTGAGCCACTGCTGAATGTCACAATGCTACGTGCACATTCAATTTACAAGATAGTAAACCATTTGAGAGTGTTAGGAACATTGCCAGCATAGTGGTTACACACGTTGGGCTGCAATCCACTAGGTCAACAGTTCAAGACCACCAGACTCTCAGCAGTGAAAGATGGGGCTTTCTAATTCAGCAAGAAGTCACAGTCCTGAAATGCACAAGGGCAGTCCTACCCTGTCTAATACAGTCACCATGATTCGGAATCAGCCCCAAGGCAGTGAGTTTGAAGCTTTTTTAAAAGCATGTTCTTTGTTTCTTGCTGTCAAATGATTCCAAGTCAGGGGAATCTGTCAATACAAAGCACAAACCCTCCCCAGGTGTACTGGACTCTGGCCTTTGGAGGCAGATCATCAGGCCTGTCTTCTGAGCAAGTCCAGGTATGTTTGAATCACCAAAGTTTTGACTTGTCATCAAGTGTCTAACCATTTGTAGTCCCCTCAATGACTATTAGTGTTTTTAGCCTTTTTTTTGGTATTAATTTGTTTGTGAAAGAATTGTGATCAGATCAATATTTAGTCACAACTTTGAAATAAGAGAAATGGATTTCAGCTATATATTTTCTCATATTAGAGAAGCATGAAAGGGTTCTTCATTTTGAGAGAATACAAGTAACTGACATGCATGATATTTGTCTGGACAAACTAAGTCAATTTAAGGAGGTGCATGCGAAGACAGACAACAAGTATACCTATCTAAATGTCAAGGAGAAGGAATCATTGGCTACACTTGGGGTTCAGTCTCAGAATGACATGGCTTCGGTTGGCTATCTTATCATTCCTCATAGTGCCTGTTTCAATCTTTACTCCTACAAGGAGGCCTGGTCTTTATCTTTCCAAATTTCCCTGCATCTGTGTCTGAAAAGAAAGTTGCCTTCATACGTTGGCTTATTCCTCATATCTAATGGATGGTTTCAGCCCTCAATTATCTTTCATCCCTGTAGCGTTTTGGCTTGCAAGAGTATCTTTCCTGATAACCACAAGAGTTTCAAATGTTGACAGACACTGTCCTATATGTGCCACATATAGTGAATGTTTCTCTGGAAACAACGGAAGGAATCAGCTATGATAGCTTCATTGTATTGTGTGACAAGTGGCACCAGCCCTTATTTCGGCTGGAGTCCAGATGCAAGAAAGAACGTGTGGGTTTTTCAGAATTGCTAATTATGGTTTCTTTCATTAGAAAACCCCAAATCAACTAGGAGTTGCATGAAACTCTTGGAGTGTTACAAAGTTTTGCACTCATAAGGCTTGATCTTTTATTTTTCCAGTAGCAACAGCAACACCTTTATCCAGTATGACAAAGGCCCCAACTTTTCTCAAATAAAGATGTTCAATTTTAATAGGTAATTTGGAATATCTAATTGCTTTTTGTCTGAATCTACCTTTACTCAACTGATTTTTCACTAAAAAGATAAAATTCAAAACTTCATCTATTCATGAATCATGGCTTTTCTCTTCTGCCAAACTGTGTTAAAAAGTAAAATGGGAAATGATAAACTTCAATTCTCCACCTTAATCTGTGTTGCTTATATTAAAGACTGAAAGAAAAAAAAAATTTAAGACTGTCCTGTTAGAGTGTATGAACAGGTCCAAGAGGGTCAGGTTAAACACCCATCAAGAAGATAAATGGGGGGAAAAATCATTGTAGCGAAGGGAAGAAGACATTGAAGAGAAAATGCGTGGAGGAGAAAGTTGTGAGAGATAGTGCTCTGTAATGCTATCTGAAAATGAGCGGTGTTTCCCTCCCTCGGATTCGTGCCCTCCTGAGTTTTCCCTCCAGTCCTCGTTAGGCACTGTGAAGGCCAAACAAGCCATGACCACAGCGATAATAGAGAGAGGTTGTGATCATTCCAGCAGTTCAATATGTTGGGTACCAAGTACATGAGTCAGGGCAAATATAGGGGGTGCTCTGGGGATAGAGGGAGGTGGCAAAGGCCCTGTTAGCTGTGCCTCTTGTGGGCAGGCTTGCTCCTGCAGCAAGACTTTGCTCAGAATTAAGTGTAGGCTATACATCTAAGTCATAAAAAGGCAGATAAATGAGTCAATATAATAAAAAACACAGATGAACTGCTTCGGAATATTACTTTTAAAGAAATCAAAGTTTATATTTTGTGATTTTAAAGGTTCCTTATCTTTAAAGAATAGTTAGACTTTGCATTTACTGAGCTAGAATTCTTCTAGCTTTGATTAAGAGGATATTCTGTTGACATTTTAAACTTTTGTTTTACTTTATAAATGGAATGGGGGCAGGGAAGATACCATTTTTGTGTCACCCACTTTAGGCTTTATGAACTTGAGGATGCATCAGTGAAAACAGGCGGATTTCTACTTACTTTCAAGTTCATTGACCTCCAGATAATAGTTTTCCAGGTTCTCATTGACAGTTGGTATGCTTTTAAGCTTATTATAAGAGAGATCCAGCTCCAGAAGGGATGACACATTAAAGGAATTCCCAGGTATTCCGCCATCAGCCAGCTCATTATGGGACAAACGCAAATACTGCAGTCCTTTGAACCCCTTGAAATACTCATCAGGAATGTTGCTGATCTTATTGTTGTCTAAGTAGAGTGTTAGGAGAGATGTAGGAAGACCACTCGGCAATTTGCTGAGCTGATTAAAACTCAAGTCAAGGTACTCCAATGATTTAAGGCCTTTTAATGCAGCTGAAATGGCATCTTCTTTCAGCTGATTGTACTGAAGTTGGACAACGGTCAGGTTTACCAGTCCATCAAAGGAGCCAAGTTTTGTGATCTTGTTATGAGTGAGTTGCAGGTCCTGCAGAGATTTGGGAAGTGGGCTCACAGACTCTGTCAGGTTGTTGTAATTTATATGCAGCTTCTTCAGTTGTTTCAGTTTGGAGAACACTTTTCCTTTTATCTTGGAATTTTCTAGTAAATTGTTGTCTAGAATGAGCCACTGCAGATCAGTTACATTTTCAAAGGCCTTTTCATCGATGTGGTCGATCTGATTATTTCTCAGGTAAAGGTACTTGATTCCGACAGGCACCATTGGCACGCTTTTCAGTTTCAGGTTATCACAGTACATGGCAGTTGGATAGTTCAGAGGACAGCTACATTCTGGCGCACAGTTGAATGATGAGTAGCCATAGATTGATTGGGGGAAGAACTCGTAGTCCTCATAGTAATAGCCACTGGCACCACCAATTAATGCCAACAAAAGAGTGAATGTACTCTGGTTCATTTTCACAAAAGTTTTGATTCCTAAATAAGGTGAAACATATAATATCATTAATTAATATGCTGTCAAGAAAGGGAACTTTGATTTACAGTGTTAAATTCCATTGTGTCTATGTATTTTATTATTTTATAATGCTATATAGTCATCTATGATGTCTTCTTAATTTTTATTTAAGTAATAAAATGAAGGTGGTTAGTTACAACTTTTCTGGAGGACAAGTGGGGTTAGGTTGCATGCACACGCCCCCCCCTCCAATTGAAGTGCCTCCCCAACCTCCCCCACTGCCAACCAGGGCTATTGCCAAGGCCTTGATTCTGACGCATAGTGGCCCACAGGGACAGAAGGAAGAACTGCTCCGTAGGACGTTTTTTTACTATGAATCCTTAGAAAAGCAGATTGCTACTTTTGTTTTTTCCCTGCAGAGCAGCTAATGGGATGAAACTGTCGTCAGCCTTTGGGTTAGCAGCTGAGCTCTTTCATCCGTGTGTCCCCGAGGTCCTGCTCTTGGGCAACTCCGGCCTAATTGTTTCAGTGAACTTCTCTAGCTCCTTCCCGATTTAAATGCCACCCTCCAAGAGACTTCTTCTGGACAGTGTTCATTGCCCACGAAGTCAAAACACTTCAAGACACCCCTCAAGCTAGGCCAGATGCAACAAGAAGTACAATTGTACATTGCACACTCTACCCTCTCATTCAACATCAATTAATATGTCTCCTTAAATTTATTAAGCAAGCCTTTACTGATAACCTGGAAATGTGTGATTTGTGCCTGTGAGAACTTTGTCTTCATATGAGTGGCTGAGTGAAGTACATTTCTTTAAAGTGATTATTATTGATGCTTCAGAGGAAGAGGAAGAACATTATTGGTGTGGGTGTTTGCGAGCATATAGTGCCAATTTCTGTTTGCTATTTCATGATTTTAAGTACATAGCAAAATTGATCTGAAACTAATAGTTAGTGAAAGTAATTTATTAATCAGGAAAAGGTCACAAATTCTAAGAATTTCAAAACCTAGCAATAGATCTGTCAAAAGGGGTTTGGCTTGTTATTTTGCTTCTAATTTTGGAATTAATTTTCTCATCTTTCTAAATGTTCTCAAGCTCTCTGCTTTCTTCATGTTAAAATTTAAGATGATTTTTCATTTATTTTTTACTTTAGGGGCACCACAGAATAAAAATTGGAAGGAGGTGGGAATTGAACACAGTTTATATTTAAGAAAGGCACTAAAATCCAGGTATGGAAGAATAAAACTGAAATATAAATTATGAACAATGTGCAACAGTTATATTCTCAAACTAAAATCATTTTTATTGTATCAACAAAGTATATTCTATTTCCTTGAGGGAAATTAAAGACCAGCAACTTAGGAAAAAATTCAGCTACATTATAAGCATTGAATTTGTGTATAATGAAGAGTTATAATCAAGGACAAGTTGGTAACTCTGGATGGGTACTCATTCATGTGAAGAAGAATCTATATTCCAATAGTGACCAGAGCTGAGTACATCTTCCCGTGAGAAGTATGTGATGTTCTTTCGAATCTAGGTAGCTCTAGTTAAGTAGGATTTGTGTTTTCTGGAAATTAAAATCGTATTTCTCTGTTTTCATTTGGCATTCTAAAGCACTCTATGTCAGCAGATGAAACACTCAGAAACATTGTTAGAAAGAATTTTTACTGCTGACACAATAGAAAATATGTAGCCAGATTCTTAAGAAGTTATTCTCTAAAATTATGACAAAGGTCATTTAAATTTAGTTGGTAAGACATGGCACCCACTGAATAGTATCAAAAATAGTAGAATTATTTTATAAATTATAGGATGTTAGTGCTATACAGATTTATTTCCTTCATGAACATGATTAAACCTTATATTAAATTGAATATACCCCAAAATATGACTATTGAATCATAATGAAAAATGCTTCCATACTGTTGGCAGAGTGAAAGACGAGAGCTCGGAAGTCAAAGAAGGGTGTGCAACCTTATAATGACTGTACTGTGAGGCACATGCACACTGTATTCCAACCACCCCCTCCCGCCCCAGTGTTTTCAAATACCTGTGGCTATTTTTTTTTAAAAAGCCAGGGTCTAAGAGGAAATCATATTTCTCAGAATTTCTTTAAAACCTTTTCCCCAAAACCTGTATTCAAAAACCAAATCTTTAAAATACTAACACAAATAGAAATAATCCACTCCTATGTGACTAAGCCTTCAGTCTGTATTTTACTTCATAACATTTTCATTATAAAGCATAACAACAATATGTTGATTATAAAATAAATTCAAATCTAATTAAAATATCCTTTCTTCACTGCCCATTAGTTTCTAATAATACTAACATACAACTCAGTAGCGTAAACCAGCAATTTCATTTCCATAATTTTTCCATATTGTGTCTAGTTAATGTATTTTGCTCATTGTCACCTTGTAGCGTTTTATAGCTTCCCTTGCCAAAGAACACAGTCTACATTGTTTAAAGTATATCTCGAAGCCATAAAACCTGGGTAGCTTATTAAGTGAAATGTGAAAGTAAATGCTAAAAACTTGGATTTGCTGTTGAATAGCAATTGGCAAAGTTGTTCTGGATTTTTTTTTCTGTTCCTGTTACAATAAATACTGTCCCAAACAGCCAACGTCCCCAGTGCTATAGTTAAAACAGCACTTACCTTGCTGTCTTGACACTGCTTTCGTTAATTCTTTGAGCAGATGCACTGAGGACAAGAATCCACCAATATATGCTGTAAACTCTGTCAGGACTGGACTGGCTGCCAGATTCTTAATGATACAAGAGCTGGGGGAGGTTGGGGGAAACCCAGCCCAGTCACGCCAGTCTCTGAATGGAGTTATTTCATTGTGGGGATCTTGTGGTGTGGCATGTGAGAGCTCTGTTCTCTAACGAAGTGCAGGTGGACGTGCAGAACAAGGACAGCCCAGCTCATTCCCTATGGAATGGAAGAGAGATACATTCTTAACAAATCTCAGTTCTAAAGCTTTTATCCACGAATGGAGTCCTGCTGCAGGAGAGGCAATAGACAGCAAAGACATTTCCCTTTACTTCAGAAAACTCTGTTTATGTCTCTGGTTGTGGCAACAGTTCAGTGAGATTGTCTCAGTCAACTATTACACTCATCCAAAGGTTTCATAAATCATATAGAGAACAACTAATTTGAACAAAATGCAAACAAGTGAAGCAATGAACTTGGACCTCTTATCCAATACTCTTGGAATCTGTATGGATTAACTTGGATTAATAAAGTTTGGCTACAGTAACATCATGATAACATATGTTAGTTTCTAAAATATATATTTTTTAAGTTTTTTATGTACTTCGATACCAATACAAAATGTCAACTTTCTCATTTAACATCTTATGTTGAAGGCAGTCTTGATAGGCAATTCAGGTCTGGAATCAATCAAGAATGCCTTGTCTGTTTCTTATTTTGTGGATTTCATTTAGGAATTCATCCAAAACCTAACTTGGGGATATTATTCTATAGCTTAATGCCAAAAACATAAAAGAAGAAAGAAAAAAATAAAAATATCACGAGGCAGTCATCTTTCCCTCTGTCATTGCATTCTAGCAATTTCTTTTCAAAACTGAGAGTTAATCACAGCTGTAAGACCCCAAAGGTCTCACATCTTTTTCATTGTCAGTTGCTCTTGCACCCTTTTAGCAGGATGAGAAGTCTACTCCAGGCCTTGTCTATTTTGTTCTGTGATTTTTTTTTGGCTCCATTTATAGGATTTTTTTTCTTCAAAAATTTTATTTCTTTGTTTATAAAACTCTTAGCATCAGATTTTTTAAAGTTCCCAAGTAATGTTTTCTCTTTTTAAAAAAAAAATAATTTGAATAGATTACTTTTAAGCTATGATATCAGTTCAAAGTTAATATCCGTAATCACCAAGGTATTCAAATACATTTTAATGGTAGATTAAATGTTTTTATTTGGTTGTGAAACTGTTGCTAACCAAAGGATGATATTCTTGAAAGTCATTCAGGAATTTTTCAGGTGATTTCTAAGCATAACATTGTATTACTCTGAATTAGTGAAGGAAAACCTCACTTTTAGGATAAGGTATGGTTCAAACTTTGAAGAAATCAAGAACAATGATAGATTTGTTCTTAGGTTCCTAGTGCTGCATAAAAACCATACCATAAGGTGGGTGGCTTAAAGAAGAATTCACTGTCTTACAGTTTCAGAAGGTTGAAGTCTAAACCAGAGTATCAGTCTACAGGAGAGTCTATGCCAGTTCTAGTGGTGTTTCTTGGAATTCCTTGGCTTGTAGATATTTCTCAGATGGTTTCTAACCCATGTGTCTATGAGTGCCTGTGTTCATGTGCTTTTGCCTGTATTTTCATTTATGAAAGGAACCTGGTGCGATAACGAGCTAGGCTTCAAATTACAAGGTCACCAGTTCAAAACCAAGAGCTGCTCCAAAAGAGAAAGATAAGATTTTCTACTCCCATAAAGAGTTACAGTCTCGGCAGCCCACAGAAGCAATTCTTCTCTGTCCTATTGGGTTGTTATGAAGCAGAATAAACTCAGTGGCAGTGAGTTTTGTTTTGTTTTATCTCCTTTATGAGACATTACTCAGAAGTGATTAGGTTTAAGACCCACCATATTCTTGTATTAATGTAAACCAAGCAAATCCTATTTTGAAACAGAGACATACAAGTACAAGGGCTATGATTTCAACATCGATTTTGAGAGCACACATTTCTATCAGTAACAGAGACCAAATATTCTTTCTCTAACAGCATTCTCTACTTTTAAATTAAATTCTACAATCCATTGCTATGTCCACACAGAACTCAGATAATGCTTAGGATTATGGGGTTTCATGCGGAAATGAACAATTGCAATTCAGTGGAAATCCTTAGGATAAGTTTGTTGAGTCAGTACGTGTTACAAAGTTCTATTCAGGGCTACTAATAAGTGCCCAGCTATGTATAAGCTTTTCAGTGGCTTTTTCCTCTGACGTGGGGCTTTGCGTCTTTCTTCTTGTCAGTTCTTAGTATGGAAGCTCTGCTGAAACGAAATCGGTTTGTTTACGGTGACCCTGCTAACATTTGAAATATCAGTGACATACCTTCCAGCATCATAGCAACACACAAACCACCGCAGTACAACAAACTGCCAGACGAGTGGCTGGACACTGAATAAGGGAGACCATAGAAGAAGAGATGGGTTTGGATTGTGGGGCAAGAAAAGGACACGGAAAGTAACGTGGGTTGCTAAAGGAAGAAGCAAGGTGTGCTTCTCAGAGGCAAGGATGGTAAGACTTCATCTTGCATACTTTCGATACACTGTCAGGAGAGACCAGTGCCTGGAGAAAAACATCAAATTTGGTAAATTGGAGGCACAGGGAAACAGAGGAAGACCTTCGATGAGATTGATTTGACACAGGGGCTGCATCAATGGGCGCGGGCATAGTAACTGTGGTGAGGATACCTCAGAACCAAGGTGTGAAGTATCCAGAGGTATCTCAATCCACAAACCAGCTCCTGACCTATAGCACTCCGATGTCCTTGTTCTCTGGGCTGAGACGTCCATGATTGTGTTTGGGCTCTGGCGTCTGGTTCTGATGCCTCTAGAGTTGGTGCTTTGTCTCTCCTCTAATGAGTTGGCTATCTTCTGGACCAATGAGGTTCATAGCACAAGGATTCAGAGGGCATGCTCCACTCCTGACTTGTGCTGGTAGTGAGATTCTCCCATCCGCCTTCAGAAAGGGCTCCTTTTAGATGCAGCAGGATGACAATTACTATGAGTCCTGCTAACAAGCCCTCAAAGTCAATCATATCCGTAGCTTCACCTTCCCAACCTAGGCTTATCAGGAAAAAGGTTATTAGATAGGAGTTACAGAGACTAGAGCCTCATTAAATAACTCACTACCCAGCACCGAATAAATAAAATTAAATTGATCTCATTGTGAAAGAATTGTTTAAACAACTCTTTTAAGCGTTCGCTTCAAGTAAGTAAGATTTTCTTTGTAATTTTTCAGATATCTCCTTCTAGGACTATACTTTACAAAGCAGTAACTATGTTGTGGTATTTGTGAAAGGGTTCAAATGCATTAAATTGGATTTAATCCACTGTGGAGTTGATATGGCCATGAATGCATTTAAGAAACAAAACTGCCTCTATTGGGCTACTAATGTGATGAGTATATCAAGGCATACTTTCTTGGACCATTAGAAAAAAAGATAGCTATGTATATCAGTAGGTAGATAGATAGATAGATGATGACAGATAGATAGTAGATGCAGTAAATGTGTTATATATATGATTATATAGTTACAATAATTGTTTGGGTTAAGGATATCCAACCTACAACTTTCACTCTCCCCTTAGTGTTATATAAATTTCCTCTCACTTTGAGACTATTGGTCCAATTCCAAAACCAAAAATAAATGAATGTCAGGCGCTGGGCAATTAAAAGGCAGTACCCTTTACAATAGTCAATACAAAAGCTGAAATATTTAGGGATATACCTGACTAAAAGAAACACGATATTTGTATGAGGAAAACTACAGAATACTATTACAAAAACACAAGAATGATCTCAACAAACTGAAGAATATCCCATGCTCATCAATTGGAAGACTCAATATAGTTCTGCCCAAGGCACTATATACGTTTAATGCTTCAAAAATTGGAAAAACTGATTACCAACTTCATATGGAGAGGGAAGAAGCCCAAAATTAACAGAGAACTTCTCAAGAAGAAGGACAAAGTGGGAGGGCTTGCTCTACCTGACGTTAGCACATTTTATACACCCACAGTATTCAAAACAGTGTGGTACTTGTATAATGATAAATATTCAGACCAATGGAAAAGAGCTAAAAACCAAAATTAAAAACATCAGCATATGGACAATGGATTTTGTATATTCTCAATTCTTGTGGTTTCCCTGCCCGCTTTAGGTATCAGAGTTATACTAGCTTCATAGAAAGAGGTTGGGAGTTTTCCATCTTTTTGTATGTTCTAGAAGAGTTTGTGCAGGATTGGTGTCAGTTCTTCCATGAATGCTTGTTAGAATTCTCCTGTGAATCCATCTGAACTGGAGGATTTTTTTGTTGTTAATCCCTTGATAACCTTGTCTATTTCTTCTATTGTTATGAGTTTGTTGAGGTTCTTGACATATATCTGAGATAGTCTAGGGAGGGATTTGTTTCCAAGTATTTGTCCATGTCTTCCGAGGCCTTCATAGTATTGTGTAATTATGCTTTTGATTTCATTAGGGTCCATTGTAATGTCCCCAGTTTCATCCCTCATCCTTGCCATTTAAATTTAGTCCTTCCTTTTTTTGGTTACGTTTTCCAGCAGTCTATCAATTATGTTAATCCTTTAAAGAATCAACTTTTTGCTACATTAATTTTTCCATAGTTTTCTTGGTTTTCCTCTCTTGTACCTCAGCTCTGATTTGTATTAATTTTTCTTTTGCTATTAGTAGAATTGTTCTGTTGACTCTGCTCTAATTGGTGTAAGTTTTGTGCCAGCATATCACGTATAAGTCTCTCATCCTTTTTCATGTGTGCATGTATTGCTATCAGCCTTCCTCTGATAAATGCCGTTGGTGTATCCCAAAGGTTTGAGTACATCATATTTTAACTCTCATTGGTTTCTAGAAACTTTCTCACTTCTTCTCTGATCGGGGCCTATGCACACTCCTTTTGCGATAGAGAGTTATTCATCCTCCAAATGTTTGCCCTCATTTTCTTATCATCCTTTTGTTGATTTCCGGACTACTCATAGAGAGAAGTCTATCAGGTTCGACTTGTGTCCCAGCATGTGGTCCATCATTGAGTATGTGCCACGTGGGCTTGAAAATAATGTGGATTTGTTTGCATTTGGGTGGAA